CCGGTGTTCCCGTGTTTCCGGTGTTCCCGGTGTTTCCGGTTCCGGCAGTGGGGGGCCAGCGCCGGGGCTACGACAGCCGCGTTTACGGGGGGCAGCAGCAGCCGCAGTACTGGGGGCAGCCCGGGAGCCGCGGGGTGAGCGCCGCGCCCGGAATTCCGGGAATTCCGGGAATCCTGGGCACTTCCGGGGCAATTCCGGGGCAATTCCGGAGAATTCCTGGGAATTCGGGGCACTTCCGGGGCAATTCCAGAAATTCCAGGGAATTCCAGGGCACTTCCGGGGAATTTCTGGGTATTTCCGGGACAATTCTGGAGAATTCCGGGGCACTTCCAGGGGAATTCCGGAGAATTCCGGGCACTTCCAGGGGAATTCTGAAGAATTCTGGGCAATTCCAGGGAATTCTGGAGAATTCTGGGCACTTCCGGAGCAATTCCAGGGAGTTCCGGAGAATTCCGGGCACTTCCAGGGGAATTCTGGAGAATTCCGGGCACTTCCGGAGCAATTCCAGGGAATTCCGGGGACTTCTGGGGGAATTCCAGGCACTTCCGGGGGTTTTTGGGGCGTTTCCAGGGAATTTGGGGGCGTTCCCGACCCTTCCGGGGCTTTTCCCGCTTCCCTTTCCCGGTGCCGCCCGCTCCTTCCCAGAGCTGCTCCTGCCTGAACTGGGCCGAACTGGATTGAACTGGTTTGAACTGGGCCGAACTGGTTTGAACTGGATTGAACTGGGCCGAACTGGGCCGAACTGGTTTGAACTGGTTTGAATTGGGCTGAACTGGTTTGAACTGGTCTGTACCAGTCCATACTGGTCCGTACTGGTCGGTACTGGTCCATACTGGTTCATACTGGTCCATACTGGTTCATACTGGTCCATACTGGTTCATACTGGTCCGTACCGGTCTGTACCAGTCCATACTGGTCTGTACTGGTCCGTACTGGTCGGTACTGGTCCATCCTGGTCCATACTGGTCCGTACGGGTCCGTACTGGTCCATCCCAGTCCGTACCGGTCCATACTGGTCTGTCCCAGTCCATACTGGTCTGTACTGGTCCGTACTGGTCGGTACTGGTCCATCCTGGTCCATACTGGTCCGTACGGGTCCGTACTGGTCCATCCCAGTCCGTACCGGTCCATACTGGTCTGTCCCAGTCCATACTGGTCTGTACTGGTCCGTACTGGTCGGTACTGGTCCATCCTGGTTCATACTGGTCCGTACCGGTCTGTACCGGTCCATACTGGTCCATACTGGTCCGTACGGGTCCGTACTGGTCCATACCGGCCCGTACTGGTCTGTACTGGTTTGTACTGGCCCATACCGGTCCATACCGGTCCGTACCGGTCCGTACTGGTCCATACCGGTCCATACCGGTCCGTACTGGTCCGTACCGGTCCATACTGGTCCATACTGGTCCATACCGGTCCATACCGGTCCATACTGGTCCGTACTGGTCCATACCGGTCCATACTGGTCCATACCGGTCCATACTGGTCCGTACTGGTCCGTACTGGTCCGTACTGGTCCGTACTGGTTCTGACCGCCCTTGCTGCCCCCAGGGCTACCGGAACTTCTACGAGCGCTACCGGGGCTACGACGATCGGTTCTACGGCCGCGACTACGACTACAACAGATACCGCGACTACTACCGGCAGTACAACCGCGAGGTACGGGGCTACTACGGGGTTACTACGGGGTTACTACAGGGTTAAACTGGGATTTACACTGGGGTTACACCGGGGTTACACCGGGGTCACTACAACAGATACCGCGACTACTACCGGCAGTACAACCGCGAGGTATGGGGCTACTACGGGGTTACTACAGGGTTACTACGGGGTTAAACTGGGGTTAAACTGGGATTTACACCGGGGTTACACCGGGGTTACACCGGGGTCACTACAACAGATACCGCGACTACTACCGGCAGTACAACCGCGAGGTACGGGGCTACTACGGGGTTACTACGGGGTTAAACTGGGGATAAACTGGGGTTAAACTGGGGTTAAACTGGGATTTACACTGCGGTTACACCGGGGTTACACCGGGGTCACTACAACAGATACTGCGACTACTACCGGCAATACAACCGCGAGGTACGGGGCTACTACGGGGTTACTACAGGGTTACTACAGGGTTACTACGGGGTTAAACTGGGGTTAAACTGGGATTTACACCAGGGTTACACCGGGGTTACTCCGGGGTCACTGCAACAGATACCGCGACTACTACCAGTTACTACGGGGTTACTCCAGGGTTAAACTGGGATTTACACTGGGGTCACCACTTACTACAGGGTTACTACAGGGTTACTATGGGGCTACTGCGGGGCTACAACGGGGCTACTGTGGGGTTACTATGAGGTTAAACTGGGATTTAACCCAGTTCAAACTGGTTTAAGCCGGTTCAAACCGGTTTAAGGCAGTTCAAACCGGTTTAAGGCAGTTCAAACCGGTTTAAGCCAGTCCTAGCCGGTTTAAGCCAGTTCAAACCGGTTTAAGGCAGTTCAAACCGGTTTAAGCCAGTTCTAGCCGGTTTAAGCCAGTTCTAACGGGTTTAAGCCAGTCCTAGCCCGGTCTAAGCCAGTCCTAGCCGGTTTAAGGCAGTTCTAGCCAGTTTAAGCCAGTTCTAGCCGGTTTAAGCCAGTCCTAGCCCGGTTTAAGCCAGTCCTAGCCGGTTTAAGCCAGTCCTAGCCGGTTTAAGCCAGTTCTAGCCGGTTTAAGCCAGTCCTAGCCCGGTTTAACCCAGTCCTAGCCGGTTTAAGCCAGTCCTAGCCCGGTTTAAGCCAGTTCTAGCCGGTTTAAGCCAGTCCTAGCCGGTTTAAGCCAGTCCTAGCCGGTTTAAGCCAGTTCTAGCCGGTTTAAGGCAGTCCTAGCCCGGTTTAACCCAGTCCTAGCCGGTTTAAGCCAGTCCTAGCCCGGTTTAAGCCAGTCCTAGCCGGTTTAAGCCAGTCCTAGCCGGTTTAAGCCAGTCCTAGCCCGGTTTAAGCCAGTCCTAGCCGGTTTAAGCCAGTCCTAGCCCGGTTTAAGCCAGTCCTAGCTGGTTTAAGCCAGTTGTAACGGGTTTAAGCCAGTCCTAGCCCGGTTTAAGCCAGTTCTAGCCGGTTTAAGCCAGTCCTAGCCGGTTTAAGCCAGTCCTAGCCGGTTTAAGGCAGTCCTAGCCGGTTTAAGCCAGTTCTAGCCGGTTTAAGCCAGTCCTAGCCGGTTTAAGCCAGTCCTAGCCCGGTTTAAGCCAGTCCTAGCCGGTTTAAGGCAGTCCTAGCCGGTTTAAGCCAGTCCTAGCCCGGTTTAAGCCAGTCCTAGCCGGTTTAAGCCAGTCCTAACGGGTTTAACCCTTCCCTCCCCAGTGGCAGAACTACTACCAGGACAGGGACCGGTACTACAGGAACTACTACGGTTACCAGGGCTACCGGTGAACCCCGGCCCATCCCAAACAAAATTCCCGGAAAAGTTTTTGGGGAGAGGTGGGGGAGGGGCTGGGGGTGGGGGGAGGGGCAAAAAAAAAAAAAACGGGGAAAAAAAAAATAAAAAATTCCGGAGGTTTCGGCGGCGGGAAAAACAAAAAAAAAAAAACGGGGAAAAAAAAAATAAAAAATTCCGGAGGTTTCGGCGGCGGGAAAAACAAAAAAAAAAAAACGGGGAAAAAAAAAATAAAAAATTCCGGAGGTTTCGGCGGCGGGAAAAACAAAAAAAAAAAAACGGGGAAAAAAAAAATAAAAAATTCCGGAGGTTTCGGCGGCGGGAAAAACAAAAAAAAAAAAACGGGGAAAAAAAAAATAAAAAATTCCGGAGGTTTCGGCGGCGGGAAAAACAAAAAAAAAAAAACGGGGAAAAAAAAAATAAAAAATTCCGGAGGTTTCGGCGGCGGGAAAAACAAAAAAAAAAAATCGGATTTGGGAGAGGGGAAAAAAAAATGGGAAAAACGGGAAAAATTTTCTTTTTTTTTGGGGTGGGGGAGGGGAAAAATGGGGAAAAATCCCCCCCAAAACTTCCCCTCCCCCACCCTTTTCCCAGTGCTGGGATTTCCTCGGGAAAAATTCGGGATTTGGACGGAATTGGAGGAATTTTGGGGGGAAATTCGGGATTTGGAGAGATTTTTTGGGGGAAATTCGGGATTTGGATGGAATTTGAGGAATTTTTTGGGGGAAAATTTGGGAATTGGAGGAATTTTTGGGGGAAATTCGGGATTTTGATGGAATTTGAGGAATTTTGGGGGGAAAATTCAGGATTTTGAGGAATTTTTGGGGAAAATTTGGGATTTTGAGGGATTTTTTGGGAAAAATTCGGAATTTGGATGGAATTTGAGGAATTCTTGGGGGAAAATTCGGGAATTGGAGGAATTTTTGGGGGAAATTTGGGATTTTGAGGGATTTTTTGGGAAAAATTCGGAATTTGGATGGAATTTGAGGAATTCTTGGGGGAAAATTCGGGAATTGGAGGAATTTTTGGGGGAAATTTGGGATTTTGAGGGATTTTTTGGGGAAAATTTGGGGATTTGGACGGAATTTGAGGAATTTTTTTGGGGAAAATTCGGGATTTGGATGGAATTTGAGGAATTTTTGGGGAAAATTCGGGAATTTGAGGAATTTTGGGGGAAATCTGGGATTTGGAGGATTTTTTGGGGAAAAATTCGGGATTTTGATGGAATTTGAGGAATTTTTGGGGAAAATTTGGGATTTTGAGGAAGTTTTTGGGGAAAATCTGGGATTTGGAGGAATTTTTGGGGGGAAAATTCGGGATTTGAGGAATTTCTGGGGGGTTTTTGATGGAATTTTGGGGGAATTCCCAGGGAAAATGGGGGGACCCCAAATCCTCCCCTCCCCCCACCCGGGGGGGCGTGTTAATTGGGGTTAATTAGGAGTAGAATTAATTAATAATTCCCTTAATGGGAGGTTTTGATTAAGGAATTCGTTAATTGGGGTCTCCGTTATTGTGTTCATTATCGGCTCCTTAATTAAACATCGCTCCTTAATGAGCGGGGAATCGGCGTTAATTAACGGGGCTTTTCCTTAATTAATGGAGCCGCTAATTAAACGGATTTTTTCCCTTTAATTTGGGGGGATTTGGGGGAATTTTGGGGAGGAAATTTGGGAATTTTTTGGGGGAAAATTTGAGAATTTTGGGGAGGAAATTTGGGAATTTTTGGGGGGAAAATTTGGGAATTTTGGGGGGGAAAATTTGGGAATTTTTGGGGAAATTTGGGAATTTTTTAGGGGAAAATTGGGAATTTTTGAGGGCAAATTTGGGAAATTTTGGGGGGAAATTTGGGAATTTTTGAGGGGAATTTGGGAATTTTGGGGGGAATTTGGGGTTGTTTTATTTGAATTTTTTTTAAAAGTTTTTTGGGGTTTTTTGGAATTTTTTTTTTTCCCCATTTTTTTTTTTTTTTTT